CGGAAGTAGGGCCGGGAGGTGGAGCCCAGAGCCGGGGGCGGGGCTACGGCTGCCCGCCTGCGTCGGTGCCGGGTGTTGTGCGGTCGCTGCCCTACAGGCGCCCTCGAAGCCCTGCCCTTAATGAACATATCACTTGGAGCTCCGCCTTTGCTGTCACGCAAGATGGTGACCGGAAGTCGTTTGTCCCAACTGAAAATGACAGCTGTCTCATAGTCCCTCCCAACTCCAATAGCCAATATGGCCGTCCTGGCTTCAGCCAATGCGTTCTGTCTTCGGAGTTCCACCGGCAGCTTCTGTAAGCCAAGAGGTGGCGATGTGGAGCCATTTGGACAGCTCCGAGAGATAGATATATATATATATATTTTTTTTTTCAGTAAAGTTTAGCGTACTTCAGAGTACTCATAACACATTCATCATTCATTCTTTTATTCTGTACAAAATCTATTATAAAATGACATAAAAATTGAAAATGGCCTAAGCACGCGGAAAGTTCATACGTATGCCTATGTAAATGTGGCTAAAAGAAACACAATAACATTAGTATGGATTCCAAAGATAATTTTGTTGCAGTTAACTATCGCTTTAGAGGCTTCATCTATTTTGAGGTGTGGTATATGCAGCCTAGGCGGTCCTGAAATGGAGGCAATCTTGCTGCTTCAGGGGTAGGGTTGAGATTATAAGCATGCACTACCACACCTAGTAGCTATTTTAGGTTAAGGTGTGGACCATTGTTCCCCAAGATGGCAGAAATCCAGTTGTTTTGGATACTTTGAGAAAAATACTCAAGCAAGTTCTTTATTCCTTTTTTGCTAAGACTGCCCCAGAAGAAAGCGCTATGATACTTTGAGAAAAATACTCAAGCAAGTTCTTTATTCCTTTTTTGCTAAGACTGCCCCAGAAAGGAAAGCTATTAAGTGTAAAACCTTCAGGTAAAATCATTTCAAGGTCTCAGTGTAATTCTAGAGCTAGTGTTAATACACATCAGCATTAAATCAGATAATACATGCCAATACATCATTGACCCAGCTCTGATATTTTATAGACAAGCTAGTAAAGTCTGGGTCAATTTCCAAAGGGCTAGCAGCGAGAATTTGAACCTAGGTCTCTCCAATCTCTCTCTCAGTGTAGCATTCTCCTGCATTTTTCTCTAATCTCTTACAAATATGCAAAAACTATGTACAAAAATCCAGTCCTATGGCCTTAAATGCCACAAAGCAGCAGAGGTTTACCCAATTGTTTTTAATCCAAATCTCTACATTCTCCATAGATGCATAAAAATTATATTTCCCTATTCAACATCTTTGTTTGTTTTAGTCTTTTGAGACAGTGGCTGGTTATGTAGTCCAGGCTGGCTTCGACCTCACTATGTGGCTCAAGCTGGCTTTGAACTCACAGCAATCCTCCCTGCCTCAGCCTCTCAAATATTGGGATTATATGTGTGCACCACCATGTCCAGCTTTCATCTTTTTTTCTTTAAACTGATCCTGTTCTTATTATCTAGAATGTCGGGGCAGACACCTTCATCTACACTCCCAATCCTTTATTTGCTTACTTTTTAGAGATAAGACCTCGAAGTCATGAATTTGCCTAAACTGGATTTAAATTTGTGATCCTCCAGTCTTAGCAAAAATAAAAATATTTTAACCTGGCACGATGGTACACCCCTGCAATCCCAGTTACTTTGAAGATGGAAGCAGGAGAATCACAAGTTTGAAGCCAGTCTGGGCAGTTGAGACACACACTGTCTTAAAAAAAAATTTTTTTTTTCTCGGTACTTGGGATCAAACTCAGGACCTTGAACTTGCAAGGCAGATGTGGTGCCACTGAGCTACATCCCAGCCCCTGTCTCAAAATTTTTAAAGGGGGCTGAGGATGTAGCTCAGTGGTAGAATGCCCCTAGGCTCAATTCCTAATACCACAATCAATTAATTAATTAAATCAAAATAATTGAGTGGGAGGAAAAGATTGTGGTTGAACCTGTCATCCACCTCCTAAAAAAAACATCGGTTGGCCTAGGGCCAGGGATTTAGCTCAGTGGTTCCTCCTCCTGCTTCATAAGCATAAGGTCTGGAGTTTGATGCCCAGTACCCCCCCAAAAAATATTAAGTTGGCTACATCTGTGAGGACTTATCCTGGGCTCTTTGTCACTTTGGTCTGTATGCCTGTCTTTATGCCACTACCACATCATCTTAATACTGTAAATTTAAATTTTGTTTGGTTTTTGAGAAAGAGCCTTTACTACATAGTTTCAGGCTGGTCTTGAACTCACTGTGTAGCCCAGGCTGGCCTGGAACTCTGGGTGATCCCCCTATTTCAGCCTCCTGAATGCTGGGATTATAGGTGTGTGCTACTATGCCCAGCTGCTTTAAATTATGAAACCAGGAAATTATAAGTCCCCCAACTTTTTCTGCTATTTCAAGATGTTTCAGGTGATTTGGGGGTTCCCTAAAACTCCATATGAATTTTAGATGGGTTTTTCTATTTCTACAAAATTATCATTGGGGTCCTCAAAGGGATTGTATTGAATCTATATGTCTCTTTGGGCTGTGTTTTGGGCTGATATTTTTTCCCTCCCAAACCCCAAATTCATATGTTGAAGCCCCAATTCCTAATACCTCCAAATATGACTGCCTTTAGATCCAAAATAGGGCCTTGAAAGAGGTGGCTGAGTTAACATAAGGTTGATAGTGTGGGCTCTAAGACTGCATTCTGACTGGCATCTTTATTAGAAGAAATTTGGTCACACACCGAAGCCTTTGTTTTCTCATCTGTGACATGGACATAATGAGAGAATGCTCCCGTTCGACCTTCACAAGGGTTATTGGAAATAATCCAAGTAAAGAGCCCAAAGCAGAACATTCTAGGGCCCAGGATTTAGCTCAATGGTTCCGTCACCTGCCTTGCAAGCACAAAGTCCTGAGTTTGATCTCTGGTACAAAACAAAACAAAACAAAACAAACCCAGAACATTCTACCACCTCATTCTCCTTTGCACCATTGATGGGATTGATTCTGTGACAGCTGAGTATGGATTGCTGACTATAGTGACGCCTGTGTGATCATCCTGGGCCATAGGATCTAGTGTACACATGGCTCCTGGATGGCTTCCAGATCCCTCACACCTGCTGTCATCCTACCTGGCCCCGGGCTCTCTTCCGAACTTGCTACTTCTCCCTGGTCTTCATCTTTGGGTCTTCTAAATGCCTCCCTCGCTCCTAACTCTCCAAGGCCTGCAAGCCCCAGACTGTTCTCAGGCTCCCTCTTTTCTCCCCCTTTCCCACCCCAGGCTTCTGTCCAGTGCGGCTCCCTTCTGCCTGGGTCTCTGCCCCACTGCCTCCCTGGGAGGACCCCATAGTCACTCTACCTAATGGCCTGGGAAGGGACTGGAGTTTGAGGCCACTGAGTGAACTTCGCCTGCCCAGACTCCTCTCCCCTTCCTGACAGCTAGATTTCTTCAGAACTGCCCTCCCCACACATGAATAAAAGATTAGAGTAGGATCAGCTGCGTGGGATATGATTGGCCAATTGAGGTTCTATCCCTCTGGCAACGTGATTGGTAGGGTGGTGATCTTGTGGCCCAAATTCATCCAATCAGAGTGATTGACAACTTTTGGCTGAGAATGTTGGACCCAGTGCCTTCTGTCTCTGGATAATATGGCAGCCCCAGCTAATGAGGATTATTGCCTGGAGGTCAGAGGACCACACTCAGGAGAGCAGATCAGGGAAAGCTACAGAGAAATGGAGCCAGAATCCTGAAGATACTGAGAACTTCTGGATCAAACTGTACCTGAAGCCTATAATAACAAATACATAAATTACCATTTCCAAGTAGACCACTTGAGTAAAATTTTTACTACTTGCAGCTAAAATTAAAATGCTAACCTCTCAGAGTTGTCCCCACCTCACATACTTCAAGCCACTGAATACATGTAGACATTCAAATATTTAGCAATGGGGGCACCAACCAATCAAGGGTACGAGCCTTAGCGATGGGCCTGGGTCATGGAGGACCATGCTGGGACGCTCCAGGGAGGGGCTGAGCTGACAGGGCCCAGATCCAGCTTGACCTGATTGCAACCACTTTGAGTTATAACTGTGATGTTGCCCCTGAGGAACCTTGGCCAGCTTTCCACCCTGCCTAGTTTTCTAGCCTGCTGTAGACAGAACTATGAGAGCAGTGTGTGGAGTTTCCCACCCAAACCTTGGCCTCAGTGCCAGGAAAGTGCTGACATCTTTGGCTTTCGACTGAGATGAACTAGGTACATTCTGGCTGGGATGATGTCACTTTTGTCCTGACCTATGTATAAGTTCTCTCCACCTGACCCAAGCTGTGGGGATCCACCATCCTTACTGCCACCCAGGACCGTGCAAATCCTCAATAAATTGTACTCTGTGCAATCCTGGATCTGTCTGCCTCTCTCTTTGGTTTCATGGCACCTTTCACCTCCAGTTGAGTCCTGCTCTTTTACCCTGGATATTTGTAGAACATGACAGGCACACAGAGAACCTGCTATTTGCCAGCTGGCACAGATTTACACACACACACACACACACACACACACACACTTCAGTACCGGGGGTTGAGCCATGGGGAGTTCTCTTTGGGCCTCTGCACTAAGCTACATCCCCAGACCTCTTAAATTTTTTATCTTGAGACAGGGTCTGACCAAGTCACTAAATTGCCCCCAGGCTGGGCTTAAACTTGGAGTCATCCTGCCTCAGCCTCCCAGAGTGCTGAGATTACAGGTGTGCACCACCAAGCCCAGATAAATTTGATATTTTCAGGACCTGTGCAGCTGTGCTGGTACAAACCAATGAAACAGGATCCTTCTGAGGACTCATGGCTGGTCCTGAAATGGGGCTTTATTTGGGTCTGAGTGAGAAATGAACATTCAAGCAAAAGAAAGGCCAGGGTGGGAGCCAGGCTGCATTTCTAGGATGGGCTAGAGTGGGCAAGGGGTCAAGGCAAGCAGGAGGCTCATGTCAGTGACTCCTTCCCTACGGCGTCCTCAGTCCCAGCCTTGTCCCCTTCACCCTCTGTTAGGTTAACTTTGGAGGTGACCTTGTTGCTGGTGGTGCCCCTTTGCCCCCGATGAGCTGCTTGAGGACTTGGTGGCCGTGGTGTAGGAGTAGTAGGACTCTGAGGTGACGACTGCGTTCATCTTCCAGAGGAACATGTCCCAAGCCTTCACCAGGAGGGGCCACAGGAGGCAGAGGGCAATGTACAGGGTCACCAGGCCCACAAACACACTGGCCGACCACTGAGGGCACGGGGAGCAGGCATGAGCGCCCAGCCCGAGGGCACCCTGCCCGCCCGCCCAGCAGCGCAGACCCCAGGCAGCCAGCCACTCACGATGGCGATTTGAAGGGCCCGCCGGAAGCTGAGCGGGAGCCCATGGATGTGCAGCAGGAAGACGAGCTGGTAGTCGCAGTACGTGCTGCTGTCCACACCTCTGGTGGGGGATGGATCCAGGATTGGGGAGCAGTGAGGGACACCCCACAGGGCACCCACTGACCCCCACTTGGACCATATGCCTGGCTCACCTATTGCTCACCAACACCTTGAAGAAGAATTCAGGTGAGAAGATGCTTTGGGGGACGGTGTCATAGCATGGGGAGTTCTCCAAGCACAGCCACCTGGAAGCCAAGTTCGGGCTTCTGTGCTGCCAACCACAGCTGTGTTGCCAGAGTGTGTGCCGGGCCCTGATTTCCCCTCCACCCCACACTCTCTGCTGTAATCTCAGGCCTCCACTCATCTATTCCTTCATCCATTCATGCATTCATTCAGGCTATTTTCTTTTGCTTCCTAAGATGGGGTCTTGCTGTGTAGTCCAGGCTGGCCCCGGCCTCACTGTGTAGCCCAGGCTGGTCTCAAACTTGTGGGGATCCTCCTGCCACAGCCTCCTGAGTGCTGGGACAACAAGAGTGCATCACCAAGCCAGGCTCTTGCTTATTCATTTGCTCCCTCCCACCCACATGCCGCTGTCTGTCTTGGGTCTGGTTCCTGTGAGAGCTCATGCAGACTAAGAACTGTGTACCTGTTGTGTTCCTGGCTGTCACCTGCTCCTTCATTCTACAAGTATAGCTTGGATACTTCCTAGGTACAGGCACATCTTGTTTTCATTCTCTCCTTTGTTCATTATTCAGTCAATGTGAAGGCAGCTAGGGAGAGGCTGGGGAGCACTGAGTTGTCTGTCCTGCCTGCCCTGCCCTGCCAGACTCCAACAATGCAGCCAATATGGCTAAAGGGGACCCCAGGAAGCAGGAGGGCAGGATGCACGTTTATGCCTTCTTCATTCAGGTGGACAGAGGAGAACGTAAGAAGAAAAACCCAGAGGTCCCCGTGGATTTTGCCAAATTTTCCAAGAAGTTCTCTGAGAGGTGGAAGACAATGTGCAGGAAAGAGAAACCTAAGTTTGACGAAATGGCAAAGGCAGATACAGAACACTGTGATGGAGAGATGGAAGATTATGGGCCAGCAAAGGGAGGCAAGAAAGAAGAAAAAAGACTGCTGTCTGGATTCTCCCTGTTTTGCTCAGAATTTCACTCCAAGATCAAATCCACAAACCCTGTCATCTCTTGGAGACACGGCCAAGAAGCTGGGTGCGATGTGAAACAGCTTCAGTAACACCAAAAAGGTGGCAAAGCTGAAGGAAAGCAGAAGGACGTGGCTGACTACAAGGCTAAAGGAAAGTTGGATGGCAGAAAGGGTCCCACTAAAGCTGCCCAGAAAAAGATGGAGGAAGACGAAGAGGAGGAAGGGGAATAAAAACTATTTTTCTGTCTCCTTGTGAATCCCTCAGAGTAGGGCAGTGCCATGACTGACCATCTCTTCTTATAGACGCCTGTGCTGCCCTCACTAGCCTTGATTATGGAATTTGATCTCAATCACATTGTATCTCTGAAGATGCTCTAGATGTTATCAGGGGTTGACATGACATGGCCATGAGTGTCCAGAGCACCATGAAACTCTATCAGAAAGTTTTACACGTGTCCAAACATTTTTAAGCCTGTGGCATGCCCCTGTAATCCCAGTACTTGGGAGGCTGAGGCAGGAGGATCGCTGTGAGGTCAAGGCCAGCCTGGGCTACATAGTGAGTTTGAGGCCAGCCTGAACTGTATAGTGAGACCTTGTTTAAAAAAAAAAATTTTTTAATGAAAAGGTATCTCTTGTGTTCTCCTCACTCTGTGCATTTGGTTATTGGTGTGACGAGGTTTTAATGATGTCCTGGCATTCTTTTTTTTTTTTTTTTTTAATTTGTAAAATGGTGTTAACTCTATGGTTATTGGCTGGAAATCCTGAGTTATCAACTGTACATATCTAGAGTTTGTAAAAAAACATAAAGCAACTGAGACAAACCCTTGATGCTCCTTGCTTCACACCAAGGCTGAAGGGACAATGCCTTTGGGAGGAGACCATAGCTCAGGGTGTGTACTATGAGGCTGGACCTGTTGATACTGAGGCTGTGACAGACACCCATTGAATTGTGGGTTGTCTTGGGTTTTTTGTTTCTTTGGAGCGTATTTTTTTTTTCCTGTTGTTTTTGTTTTGTTTTTTGAGACAGGGTCTCGATATGCAGTTCTGGCTAGCCTTGAACTCACAAACCCATGGTGATCCTCCTGCCTCAGCCTCTCAAGTGCTGGGATTTACAGGCATGTGCCAACATAACCAGGTTGGGTTTGTTTTCCTTTGTTTCGTTTAAGATAGGGTCTCACTACATAATCCAGGGTGGCCTTGAATTCACTATGTAGCCCAGACTGGCCTCGAAATTGAGATGATCTTTCTGCCTCAGGCTCCCAAGTGCTGGGATTACGGGCATGCACTACCACATCTGGCATCTTATTTTTGTATATGGTAACATAGCATCTTGCTGATCATCTTAGCTGGGTAAACAAGAATCAGAAATACTTGGGATTTTGTTTTGTTTTTAGTTAAATCCGGTAGGTCAAAACTGTTTTTAAACAAAGGTCCTGAGTTCAATCCCAGTACAAGAACAAACAAACAAAAAACCAGGCTGGGGATTTAGTTTAGTGTTGCCACTGCCTACATCCCAAGTGCAAGGTCCTGAGTTCGATCCACAGTATCAAAAAATAAAAAATAAAAAACTGCTGAACTTCATTGTTAACACAGAGCTACTACATTAATGATAGTTCAACCACCTTCGGGACTCACACACGATTTGCAACATTCTGTTATTTTTTTATGTTTAGAAAGCTGAAATGTTTTCAAAGTTAAATAAACAGTGTTATATTTAAAAATACACAGTGTGGCCAGGTGTGGTGGCGCACGCCTGTGATCCCAGCACTCGGGAGGCTGAGGCAGGAGGATTGCTGTGAGTTCGAGACCAGCCTGGGCTACACAGTGAGTTCCAGGTCAGTCTCAACTACATAGTGAGGCCCTGTCTCAAAAAAACAAAACAAACAAAAAAAAAACCACACAGGCTGAACACTGGGGAGGTGCAAGTCTGTTAGTTTGTTCATCCACTCACTGCCTTCACATGAAGCTTGAGGCAGCCGTTGCTTCCTTCCATTGAATCAAAAGCAGTAATGGAGAATCTATATACTTGTTTGCTCCTCCATGGTTTTATTCAACTGTCAATAAATGCCTGCTCTGAGGGCTGGGGATTTAGCTCAGCGGTTCAGTGGCCTGCCTTGCAAGCGCAAGGACCCAAGTTCAATCCCCGGTAAAAAAAAAAAAAAAAAAAGCCTGCTCTGAATATATTAGTTTATTTTTTAATTTTTAAAATTAGTTTATTCTTTCATTCAAAAAAATATTATGGTGACCTGCTGGCCCATTCCTGGAATTACACTACTCGGTGAAGCTGAGGCAGGAAGACAGAAAGTTTGAGCTCAGTCTGGGCAACTTATCGACCTACTGAGATATTGTCTCAAATTTTTAAGAAAGGGCTGGGGCCTTGGGATGTAGCTCAGTGGTACAGTGTTTGTCTAGCATGGTACAGTGCCAGAATTCTTTCCCCAGTACAAAAAAAAAATGCTGGGCGTGGTGGCGCATGCCTGTAATCCCAGCACTCAGGAGGCTGAGGCAGGAGGCTTGATGTAAATTCAAAACCAGACTGGGATACATAGTGAGTTCCAGGTCAGTCTCAACTACACAGTGAGACCCTGTCTCAAAAAAACAAAAGTCCTATGTTCAATCCCTAATACCATAAATAAATTTTTAAATTACATTTTAAAGTAAAAGTACAGCTAGGCATGGTGGTGCACACCTGTAATCTCAGCACTTGGGAGGCTGAGGCAGGAACATCCCAGTGAGTTTGAAGCCAGCTTGGGCTACACAGCAAGTTCAAGGCCAGCCTGGGCTACCCTGGGCTACAAATTGAAACCCTATCTCAAAACAACAACAACAATAACAAGTAAAAATACTAAAAGACTATGTTGAAGCCAGATGTGGTGGTACACACCTATGATCCCAGCACTTTGGAAAGCTGAGGTAGGAAAATCTCAAGTTCCAGCCCAGCCTGGGCAACTCAGCAACTTAGCCAGACCTCAGTCTAAAATAGAAAAGAGCTGGGAGTGTAGCTCAGTGCAGCCTAAGTTCAATTTCTTGTGTGTGTGTGTGTGTGGAGAGGACTATGGTGAGTCTACTCAGGATCTGGTCCTGTAACCCCACAAGAGACAGTAACAGGCCAGAGTGAGCTCGGATGGGACAGAAAGGCACAGCAGTGGGGCCGGGGTGGAACGGAGAGGTGCAGCAGAGGGGCCACAGCCAGAATGGCGGAGGAACCGTCAGAAGGGTCTGGACCGGGAAGGCACCGGGAAGCCAAGAGGAGATGACAGTCCAGTTCTGAAGATGACAGTAGGCGGGACGTCCCAGAAGAGAGTAGGAGAGCCCAGCATTCCGGAAGGAGGGTCCTGCTGTGTCCCTCCTTGGAGAACACAAAGGCACTCGACCTAGCTGCAGGCCTGGCAGGAAGCATGGCAGGGAGGATGGCAGGCCTTCTGGGCGGGTGGGGGCAAGGGCCTTGCGCACTCACTCGATGCCAAAGCTCTGAGGGGACATGATGTGGAACGCCCCGTCCTCCGTGGTCTCTGTGGTCTTTGTGGTCCAGATGCGGCTCTTAGTCCTGGGCGGGACCCTGGAATCTCAGGGGGTGTGGCCAGGGAGGGTGTGGGCGGGGCTATTCCCCATCCAGGCCCTACAGGCCTGGCTGTGGGTGGGGCTGGTTTTGGGTGGGTGGGGTTTGCAATCAGTTGAGACAAACAAGGTCCAAGGAGAGGGGCTCCTGCGGGGAAGGAAGGCGGACCACGGGTGGGCCCACCAGGCTCACGTTTCCAGCGGGCTGTTGAAGCGGTAGATTTCCTCCTCGCTGTAGTCCCGGAGGCTGTCCAGGGTGGGCCCGCCGCCCACCACTTTCAATACGTATCTGCAGGAAGCACGGTGCACAGGGACCGACCTGGGGTCCCCAATTCTGCACCCCCCTCCTCACCTGAGTCCCATACAGGGCAGGCAGGTGGGCCTCGCCTTCACCTGCCCTTGAAACTGCCAGAATCTCCCGTCACCAGATCTTGAATCAAGAAGAAAGGGTAGAACACTGTGGGATTGGAGTGGGGCGAGACCAGGGGAAGAGGAAATGAGCTTGGTCCAGAAGCAGAAGACGAAGAGGGGAGGGAGGAGACATGACCAAGGGTTGGAGCAGAGCAGAGCAATGTGAACCCCACAGGGCAGCGAAGTGGCGGGGCCAGGGGACAGCGAACTCTGGCGAGGAAGGGACCCGACACAGAGACACACACCGTCACGGAAGAGAAAGCAGGGCATCTCGGGGTCCGGGTGCGCGCAGTCGAAGTACTGTTTATTGAGCAGGCGGTTGTATTCTAGCGTGTAGGTGATGTCAAAGGCCAGGCGCTTGCCTGGGGGGCAGCCAATAAACACTGGCAGCATCATGTTGCCCTGGGTAAGAGAAAAACCTAGTGCTGGGGGCAGGGGGTGGAAAGAACACTATCTCCAACACACACCGCGCATTTGCCTGCCCTACTCACCCTCGTGATTCCATGTGGAACTGAACATAGGGTCTCGGCACTGAGCTATATCCCTGGCCCTTTTTATTATAACTTGAGACAAGGTCTCACTTAATTGCTCAGACTAGCCCCATCTTGTATTCTTCCTGCCTCAGCCTCCTGAGTAGCTGGGATTACAGTCACATGTCACCACCCTGGGCAAACTACACAGTTATTACAAGTACAAGAGGGAGGGGAAGAGAAGTGGAAACAAAAAGAATTAAAGATGTGTTATATACAGGCACCGACTCCCTACAATAAATGTAATTATTCTATATGGTAAACACATACTTTAAAACATTTTTTTTGAAACAGGATCTTGCTATGTAGTTTGGGCTGGCTGGCCTTGAATTTACTAGGTAGCCCAGGCTGGTCTCAAACTCACAGAGATCTTCCTTCTTCAGCCTCCTGAGTGTTGGGATTGCAGTCATGTACCAGCACTCCTAGCACTACACATTTTAAAAAATGAAACAAACATACCAACAAACAAAAAAAGTACAACTATACTTGTAATAGCTGCCAACATTTATGTAGCTCTTCCTGTGTACAAGACACTAGGTGACATTCTGAGAGTTTCACATACTCATGTCAGGGCACAGTGGTCCACACCTGTAATCTCAAAAATATGGGAGACTGGGGCGGGAGGACTGAAAGTTTGAAACCAGACTGGGCAATTTAGTGACTTAGTGAGACCCTGTCTCAAAAGTGGGAGAGGGTATGTGGGTAGGGATATGGCTCAGTGCAAAAGTTCTGGGCTCAATCCCTAGTAGCAGGGAAACAAAACAAAGAGTTTTACATATTCAAAGTCACTTAAAACTCACAGAGGCCTGTATGGTAGACTATTAATGTCTCAGTTTAGAAATGGCAAAGTGAGGCACAGCAAGTTCAAGCAACTTATTGCCTAAAGCTACAGAGCTGGTAAGTGATAGAGCCGAGATTGGATCAGTTGACTCCACATGCCTCAGCATGCAACATGTAAAGCAGCTGACATCTCCTAATGGCCTAGCAGCACCAGCTCCTAGTCATGCTTTGTGGGTCTGAGCCTGGGCTTCAATTCTCCAATAATGGGCCTGGGGGGTAGGGGATTTGGCTCAGTGGTTCTGCTGCCTGCCTCGTAAGCGCAAGGTCCCGAGTTTGATCCCCGGTACAAAAAAATAAAAAAAAGAAAGAATTTCTAATAATGGGCCAGTGGGAACATATAATACAGGAGGAAGTGGAGTCCAGCATAAACCTCCATGACACTGTCTTCAGAACACAGCGTCCCTGAGCCCTTCTGGCAATAGGGCACAAGCATTTATACAAGAGACAAAGAACATGGACATCCCCTGGGCTTGATAGCAGCTAAGGAGAGGAGCTGGTAGCCGTACAGTAAGCACTCTCAGGCCAGCCCTGGACTGAAGACTTTATACCCATCAGCCCCTCTCTTCCTGGGAGGTCTAATGGGCACTGAGATGCAGTGTGTCTAGGACCCATCTTGGTTAATGGTACTTCCATCCCTCCTAGCTGTTCAGGCTAAAAGCCTTGGTTCCATCCTTGAAACCTCTCTCCCTTTCATACCCACATCCAATCCAACAGGGTATTGTTAATAGACCCAGAGGGCCAGGCTGTAGCTCAATAGTAAGGCATATCCTTAGCATGCATAGCTCAACTCCTAGTTACACACACACACACACACACACACACACACACACACAGAATCTTCTCTCCCACTCTCCAGCTCTGTTGTCCCTACCCACTCTTGTCTAACCTTATCTCCTTCCTGATCTTCCTATTTCCCCCATGTCTGTCCCTCTCTGCAGGGAACCAGATGGCCCCTGTGAGCACACAAGTCCCTCTTTTGCTCAGAGTCCACCTGTGGAACCACCTCACTTTGCATGGCCCCCAGGACCCCAGGCCCAGCCCCCAACCCTGCTCTACTGTCCTCCTCGGCCACCCTGACTCAGCCACACTTGCTCTTATGACTTTAGTCCAACACCCAAATCTCACATAACCCAAGGAGTGTGGCTATTACAACCTGCCTCCCACTGCCTGGGTCATTTCAAACCAAGAAGGAGGAGCCCCACAGTGTGTCTACAGATGAGTGGGTAGGGAAGTGGAGGAGAACAACTCCTGCCTCTACTACTTATGAGCTCCCTGGTGATGAACCAAGAACCCACAGGAGTCAATAAAGAACACAGGAGTGAAAATGAAGAGCAGAGTGTAAACTAGGTGTGTATTGTACACGTGAAATTCCAGCACTTTGAGAGCTGAGGCAGGAGAACGAGTTCCAATCCAGCCTGGGCAATTTAGTGACTGATTGAGACTCTGTCTTAAAGTAAAACTTGAGCCAGGCATGGTGGTGCACACATGTAATCTTAGTATTCTGGAGGTTGATGCAGGAGGATTGCCATGAGTTCAAGTCCTGAGCTACATAGTGAATTCAAGGCCACCCTGAACTACAGTACATAAGGAGATCCTGCCTCAAAAAAGTAAAAGCAAAAGAACAAGGCTGTGTGTTAAGTAAGGTCTAAAACAAAAAAAAAAAAAAAAAAAAAAAAAAAAAATAGCAGTGCCACAAGGGTGGTGCACACCTATAATCCCAGCACTCGGGAGGCAGAGGCAGAAGGATTGCCACAAGTTCAAGGCCAGCCTGAGCTGCATAATGAGTTCAGGGCCAGCCTGTGAGACCCTGTCTCAAAAAAAAAAAAAAAAAACCAAAAAACAAACAAAGAAAGAGGGAAACCAAGCTGGCCACATGCTGACCACATGGCACCTTTATGCCAACTGGACTGGAAAAAGAAGCTCTGTCTCTCAGATGCTTTACTTCCCTCTGCAGAAAAGTACCCAAAGGAACATACACAAACAGACAAGCTTGTGTGCAACCTACACATCTGTGACATTAGCCCTTTCTAAAAAGATGAATGGAGCAAAGGAGCAACTGGGTGGGTGGATGAATACTGAAAGTGAATGGGAAGGCAGGAAGTTAGAAATCCATTAGTGGGACTCTGGAGAGAACACTGGGTATCAGCCCCTGGGAGCCCTGGCCCAACCCCTCCCGTCCGAGCAGAGGGCCCAGTATCCCAAGCTCTAATACTTGCATGCGGAGCCCAAAGTGGGTGCTCTGGAAGCAGTGCCCAGAAGACCCCCGAACCTGCAGGTAGAATCAGGTGATGACAGTGGTCCCCACGGGCCGTGCTTTCTCCTCATCCCGTGTCCCTCCCCTGCAGGCTTGGATCGCACCTTGACCATCACTGAAGTCTTCATGAGATGATGTCCACTAATGCCCTGGTCATAGCAAAGCTTTTTATCCCTGAGCGTAATCTGCAGAGGCAGAGTAGGAGAGGCAGAAATAAGAGGTAGACAGGTGCAAGGGCCCAGAGACCGCGCCGATTCTCCACAGCCGGGGTGGGGTGGGGATGAGTAGAACCGTGGATTTCCATTTCCCAAGCAGAAGAATCCGCAAACAGTTCCCAGGACCCCAAGAACTCCCTACCCACTTTATCTTTGTTTGTTTGTTTTGTTTTGTTTTGTTTGTAGCTGTGGATGAAACTCGGGACCTTGTGTTTAGGAGGTGGGCGTGGTGCCACTGCATTAAACCCCAAGTCCCGGTTTGTTTTTGAGACGGGGTCTCACTTTGTAATTCAGGCTGGCCTCGAACTCGCAGGATTCTCCTGCCACAGCCCCTTCAGTGTTGGGATTACAGGCCTACACCACTCCTACCAGCTCTGCGAACACCTTGACACCCACCCCCTCGCCCAGCCTTACCAAGAATTGCACCAAGTTGCGAAGAACAGTGGCCTCCTGCTTCGCAAAGGCTTCAATGCAGTGGGGATCAGCCAGCCCGAAACCCACCGCCAGCTTGCTCTGCTCCTGGAAGGCGGAGCCTGGGCGGGGCAGAGGGAGGAGTTAAAGGCCCCGCCCCTCGCATGGTGCTTGGGTCCCAGACCCTTCCTGAACCAGGCACTCCGCTCGGGCCCCGCCCACAGACCCTCTTTGGAGCGCATCTTTAAGGAGAACTCGTAGGAGTTGCCCTTGTCCAGGAAAATGAACTGGGGCAGCTGGTATTCGGACTTGAGGTTGTAGATCTTTTCGTAGCTGGCCATGTCAATGTGCACGCCGCCCGCGCTCAGCCAGTTTCTCTCCAGGTATAAGTAGTAATCCTGGCCGATGATATGAGGCACCAGGCAGAGTCAGTGCCGGTTTGTGGGGGCCTGTGTAGGCACTCCCCGCTCCTACTCTCAACCCTCTCCACATACCTGGTCTTGTTTCTTGTTTTTCCACCAGCGCCAGGTAGGATCGTGCACCGGGTCCGCATAGGGCTGCAGGAAACAAAGGAATAAAGAGGCAGGATGATCCTAGGCAAGTGGCAGCCTCAGATCCACCTTGCCCGGGGTTCCATCCCATAACCCAAAGCAGATGGTATCTATCCAGCCAGTCCCCAAACCCAGACTTTTCTTTTGTGGCACTGTGCATTGAACCCAGGGCTTTCGAACTAAGCTGCATCCACAGGTCCCTGCCCTGTGTCAGGTTTTTTTTTTTTTTCTTTTAACATAGTCTCGATAAATTGCTAGATTGCCCAGGCTGGGTCCTAATTTGCAATCCTCCTGCCTCAGTCTCAGACTGCTGAAATAACAGGCACGCACCACCATACCCGGCATCTGAACCCAACTTCTCCCAAAAGCTGTAGCCCCCAAACCACTCTTCACAGTCCTGCTCATACCAGCCCTGCCTCCACCCCAGTCCTGGAACCTCGGTCTCCAATTCTTTTTTTTTTTTTTGGTACCGGGGATTGAACTCAAGTCCTTGTGCTTTCAGGGCAGGCGGCAGAACCACTGAGCCAAATCCCCAGCCCTCGGTCTTCAACTCTGCTGCATAGGTCGGTTCCCTCTGCAGGGTGTCAGACACCACAGGGCACTCACCTTGTTGTACTTGGAGTGTAGCCAGAGCAGGTAGTAGAGGAGGCCCTGGTAAACGGCAAGAGACTTCTTGCTGTGGAAGCCTGAGCGCTCCAGGATGTGCGGTGGCCTAGCCAGGTAGCGCTCCTCACGAGTGTAGGCCTGAGGGTTGGGCAGGTTTGCCAGGCTCAGCATGGTGAAGGGGCACTGGTTGGTGAAGGACAGCACCGGGTGGCCCCTGCACAGTGGCAGTGGGGGTGACAGCTGACTAGTGTGCCTGCCAGCACCCCACGAGCCTCCCAGGCCTCACCCCCACCTCCACGCCATTGGCTCCCCAAATCAAATCTGGCCCTGTGCTTCAGCCTGCCTTGCCAGAGCCCTCCTACTTTACCCCTTGGCTGCCCTGGTTCCTCAGACCACAGCCCCTGTCCGCTACAGCAGATCCCCCAAGCCCTCTACTTGGCATTTGTTTGGTGCAGTGTGGTGTGCGTTGTTTGTGTGTGTTACTAGGGACTGCACCCAAGTCCTTCACACTGAGCAAAGTCCCCCGACCTTTTTTTATTTTTCTCATTGTGAGACAGGTTCTCCTTAAAGTGCTCAAGCTGCCCTTGAATTTTGCTGTTGTTGTTGTTGAGGTATCATCATGCTATGTAGTCCAGGCCTTGAACTCATGGCAATCCTCCTGCCTCAGCCTCCTGAGTGCTGGAATTACAGATGCGTGTGCCACTGTGCTGTTATTTATTTTTTTTTAAAGGCATAATCTCCCTATAGAGATCAGGATGGCTTTGAACTATGTAGCCAGGCTGGGTTTGAAACTTCAGCCATCTTCCTGCCTTAGTCTCCCAAGTGCTGGGATTACAAGTGCGCACCAAAACACCTGGCTAACCTGTGATTCTGTTTGTTTGTTTTTTCTTAACTTGTGATTATTCAACACCCACTCTCTTTTCTTCCTCAGCACCTTTGTATGCATGGTCCCACCCCTGCCCAGAATACCAGTTGCACTTCTCCACCTGGCTAATTCTCCTCACCCTTCAGGTTCTGGCTCTGACAACTTCTCCTTGACACCCTCCCTGATGCGCCCTCCCGCTAGGCTGGGTTTGGCTCCTCTGAGCTTCACAGGTGCTGAGCTCTCCCCTTCCAGCCCGGAGGTGCAGCTCCCACACATGGAGCTCCTGGGGCCACCTGCCTGGTCCCTATCTTCTTACCCCTGTCGCTCTAAGTGGTAGTGGCTCTGCTGCTGGTACAGCAGTAGCTTCTCCACAGGCACGAGCCTCTTGACCAGGCGACCCTGCCCATGGCCCATGAGGTACACCAGCTGCGGGAAGGGCAGTCAGTCAGCGAGGTGCCCTCAGTCCCCCGAGGCGAGCGCCCCCTCGTGGCCCCGCGGCACCAGCCTGCACCTGGTACAGCTCCCTGTCTTCATAGAAGAAGGTGACCGTGGTCTCATTGGCCGCGTAAAGGGACGACTGTTGCAACATTTGCAGACTGAAGTGGATGCTCCAGCCCCGGGACGGGAACAGCTGGTACACGCGGTAATCGCCCTCCAGGAGGTACCAGATCTGTGGGGCAATGGACTGTGTGTCTGGGCCGGGACCTCCAGCCACACCCTCCCTAGGCCTAGGGAGTGCAGAGGCTTGAAGGGCACCCCAGGAGGGACTAGGTGAGCTGCATGCCTCTCTGAGGTACCATCTCTCCGCTTGTCCCAGCCCTGTCACATCGGGTTCCAGCCCCCAGGCCAGAACGTGTTTGTTTGGTACCAGGGATCGAACTCAGGTCCTTGTGCTTGTGAGGCAGGTGGCAGAATCACTGAGCAAAATCCCCAGCCCTGTTTGTTTTTTGAGACAGGGTCTCACTATGCACTACTTCAGGCTGGCCTTGAACTCACTACGTAGCCTAGGCCAGCCTCGAATTCACAGTGCTCCTCCTGCCACAGCCTCTTGGTGCTGTGTGACTTTGACAAATATTTTTACCCTCTCTGAGTTCCAGGGTTCTGTCATAGATGGAGCTTCTGATGCTCTTTCCTGGGGCCCCCAAGGGTACCCCCTCTGCCCCTTTACCCTGAGGGGAGGAGGGTTGGGGTTGAGCAGGGAGGGAGCGGGGACTGGGGCAGGGCAGCCCACCTCTTCCGTCTCCGTGATAACAGCAATGTCCCCGCCAAATGAGTTGACCAGGTATTTGATACTCAACTCTTTGGGGAAACCTGCCAGGTAGGTGTAGTTTTCCGCATTGTAGCTACAAGGGACAGAGACAGCGAGGTCAGAGCATGGGGACATCTGGAACCAGGCCTAATACAACACAGGACCCACTGACCAATTCCCTGCTTCCATGTGAACCAGTGAGAAGGAACCTGGACTCCTAGCTTCTGCCCCCACCCCACACCCCCAGTGACCTTCTCCCCTTCTGTAGGGTAGATGCAGTTTGGTATCCAGCATGGAAGTGCTGAGAAAGTAGGGAGGAGCCTAAACTGTCCTCAGAAAACGCACTTCTAAGGGATTTAGTTCAGAGGTGCTGCCGCCTGCCTGGCAAGTCCAAGGTCCTGAGTTTGATCCCAGTATATAGTACATGTCTTTAAAAAAAAAAAGAAAGAAAATGCACTTCTACTGCTCACCTAGCTTGAGTCCTTAAATAAAGTTTCTTTTTTGTTTTTTTATTGAGACTGGGTCTCAGGGTCTCACTATGTGTGTAGTTCAGGCTGGCCTTGAATTCACTGTGAAGTCCAGACTGGCTTTGCACTTGCAGGAAACCTGGCTCAGCATCCGAAGTGTTGGGATTATAGGCATGCACCATGATGCCCAGCCACATAAAGCTTCATTTTAAGAAAGACATGCTTGTAACCCTAGCACCCTGCGAGGCTGAGGCATAAGGAATGCAAGTGCCAGCCCTGCTGGGGCAACTCAGCAAGACCCTGTCTCAAAATTTTAAAAAATAATAAAATAGAAAGGGCTGGGGATGTAATAACTCAGTGCAAAGGTTCTAGGTTCAACCCCCAGCTCCACAAAGTAAGTATTTAAATATGTATCAAGCTGGGCATGGTGGCGCACGCCTGTAATCCCAGCACTCGGGGAGACTGAGGCAGGAGGATCGCTGTTGAGTTCCAGACCAGCCTGGGCTACATAATGAGTTCCAGGTCAGCCTCAAGTACATAGTGAGACCCTGTCTCAAAAAACAAAACAAAACAAAACAAAATGGATCTATTTTCCCCATCCTATCCCCGACTATCCCAATCCTTGGTTCCCTGCTTAGTTCTGACACAGTAACCTGGGCCTCCCCTGAAGGTTTGGTGACTTCCAAAAGCCCCACATTCTGCCTGGGCACCCGAGGTGGGGCCTGCCCACCTCTGCAGCAAGAAGTTGCCCCAGATGAACAGCAGGTTGTTGTAGGTGTTGAAGAACAGGCCCTTGGGCACCATGGGGGAGCTCGTGTACATCTCTGCGCCTACCATCATCAGGAACTCCATGCCCTCAGCTGATTGGAGCAAAGGAGAGAATACAGCACAGAAATGGGGTCTCCTGGGCCCCTCCTGGCTCCTACCTGCTTTGAAAGCCACCCCTGCCTTCCCCTCCTACCATCAGGGATGAAATCTGGGATGATGTAGAGGACTTCCGTGACGTCACTGCCTGCGGGTGAGAACACAGCCACTTTCAAACCTGAAAGCAGGGCTATCGGCCTCCTGTACCTCCCAAAACCCTCTCCAAGGCTTCCCATTTGGGCCAGAATTCCTTGAGGAGAATTCTAAAAATATATTGCCTCTGAGAGGATGCAGACCAATGAGGGCATGAGACTTATCTCCACTGGCCCCGACTATGGGGTCTTATGCAGTGCCCAGCCTGTACAACTATATCTGGCAGCCTAGTTCAACTGCAGGCAAAATGAAATCAACTCTACTTTTCGTTAGCTGCACAACTTTTCTGGTTAGCTCTGCTCCCCTCTTCAATCTCAGGCCCTGTCCTCTTCCTTTGGTTCCAGCCGCATGGACACTCTTGGTTTCTCTAGCCCACCAGAGCTTCTACTGTATTCTCCACTCTACTATCCCCTTTTTCTCCCTCCCACCCTCAGTACTGGGGATTGAACCCTGGGTCTTCATCCCAGCCTTTCTTTGTTTTTTTTTATTTTGAGATAAGTTCGCTAAATTGCCCAGGTGGAACTTGCAGTCCTCCTGCCTCAGCCTCCCTCAGTGCTTGCATTACAAGCGTGTGCCACAATACTCAGGGTCTACCTCCTTATCTCCCCTTCCTCTGCCTCCTGGGCCCACCGCCCTCCGGATGGAGACCCACTCTGGTCACCCTGCCCCACATCGCCCTGGTTACTCATGTTGTAGCGGACCACGCGGAAAGACTTGGTGTTGAAGTCCTCGACCTCCACCAGCAGCAAAAGAATGTACTCGCCGGAGAGGTACTCAGCCCACGTAATGGAGCAGTTGCCAACTGAGGACAGAGGGTGGGTCCATAGCAGCCTGGGCTGGCCACACACACAACACACACACACTCCACCCTCTCAGACACCACCCATCGGTTCCCAGGAGGCCCCCACACCTCCTTTCCCACTTCCACAGCCCCCCTCCCCTGCTGTCCTTCTCCCCCCTTGCAGACCCACGGAAGGATGCCCTACCGAACATATGCTTGCATAAGGACCCGCCTTTGGGCAGCATCTCGAAGGACACACGGCCATCTGGGGGGCAAGAGCAAGCTCAGGCCCTTCCCACCCTGCAGCACCCAACCTGTTCCCCGCTCTCTGCTCCCCGGGGTGTCCTCCCTGTGCTTCTGGCCCTCCATCCTCAGTGTGCCACTGGACTTTCCCTCACCCACTGTCCCCGCAGTGTGTCTCCAGGCACAGCCATGGGCTCAGGTCTGGCTAAGGAGAGGGTCAGTCACAGCACACCCTCGGCCTGGATTAGAATTAGTATGAAGAGGCTGCTCCCATTGTCACCTCCAGCCCCTGGCACCTCCTTACTGAGGAGTCAGCCCAGGGCCTTTTGCACTGCATGCTTAACTGCATAACCACACACACACCTTGCACACATATACACACACACACACACACACACACACACACACACACACACGCACGCACTGGCTCCCCGCTGGGACACTTCCAAAAGGGCACATGATTTGGAATGAGAGGTCTGGAGGGGTCTTGGGTTCCCTTACCAGTGATGGTTCCAAAGTGCAGATAGCCCTCATGCTTCCCTGTGGGGAGGGCCATGACGTACTCAGAGCCATTGCTGTGGAAAAGCACCGGACACAGCCTCTTGATGCATTCGGTGGCCAGGACCCGAACCCAGCTGCCTGGTGGGGAGGCAGCATGGGGCCTCAGGCCTTAGGGAGCCCATATGCTGCCCCTTGGGGTGGTGTCTGTTAACCCTGGGCAGTGCCAGCAGCTGCTTTTGAGAAAAACCCCATTGTTTGTCCTCTATCTCTGAGGTCCAGCTGGTGCAGGCTCCTCTCACTGCCCTGGCCAGAGCCACTGGTTTGGAACAGGGCATTAGACCAAGCTGGGAAAATCAGAGCTCATCCCAGATTACAACTGTAGCAGAGATGCCTTCCCTGGGGCCACGGAGGGCTGAAAGTGTCCCCTTGCTGCTGGGGTAGGAGCAGCCATAGCAGCTGCAGGGAGGAGACGTGTCCCTGTCCAGCTCCGCCTGACAGTGACAGGTGTGCTCCTGGGCTTGTCAGCTACATAAGCCCAGAAACAGCCCTTTTCTGTGGCTTAAGCCAATTTTCACTTCATTTCTCCTATGTCAAAGGGCACTAAAGGAGGAAAATGGAGTTTCTGGGAGCATGCAGTAATGTAAGTTATGAAACTTTTCCTTTCCGTTTCTTTTTAATTCTTTTTAGTGGTACCAGGGACCCAACCTGGGTGAAGAGGATGCTCTACCACTCCCATCCCTTTAGTTTTTGTTTTCTTATTTTGAGATGGGGTCTCACTAAATTGTCCAGCTGGAACTCAAACTTGTGATCTTCCTGCCTCAGCCTTTCTCAGGGCTAGGGTTACAGGTGTGCATCACATCTGGCTACTACAGTACAGTTATCTGTAACCCTACAAACTGACATCTTTCCTTTAATGGGGGAACAAAAATAACTAGGGCTTTGGTAGCACTTAAAAAATGGAAAGATCAAAAGTGTCTTGTTTTTCTTTTTGAGACAGGGTCTCACTCTGTAGTCCAGTCCCGTCCTAGTCAAAGTATGATTTTCCTTTCTGATCAATCACATTCATGGCTTTTCCCCAACTGTATGTGTTGTCTGTCTGTCTCCTCTTGGTGTCTCCCTCTGACACACTATGCTTCCCCCAACCCTGTCCCTCTCTTAGTATCTATCTTTCTCACTGAACTTCCTTCCCTCTTTCTTTCCTTTCTTTCTTTCTTTCTTTCTTTCTTTCTTTCTTTCTTTCTTTCTTTCTTTCTTTCTTTCTTTCTTTCTTCCTTTCTAGCACTGGGGATTAAACAAGTGCTCTGTGACTGAGCTACAGCCTCAGCCCTTTTTTCCTTTTCTTTCTTTTTTTGGTACTGGGGATTGAACTCAGGACCTTGCACTTGCAAGGCAGGTGTGGGGACACTGACTAGAACTGGCCCCTTTTCATTCTTTACTTTAAAATAGGGTCCTGTTCAATCACTCAATCACCCAGGCTGGGTGTGAACTTTTGATCTTCCTGCATTCACCTCCTGAGTAACCGGGATTACAGGTGTTCACCACCATGCCCATTTCGTCTCTTTAGGTTTTTCTTCCTGCCATTCTGCCTGTGTGAGCCCCCGTGGATTCCTCTGGCTCTCGACCCCCTCCCACCCTGCTGGTGCCTCCTTCTTGCAGCTGGCTCACTGGAAGGCTGGGGGAGCTTCCAGCTGCATGGAGAAGGTGAGGATGCCAGGCGGCTGGGCAGGGTGGTTCACGACTTTCGCAGCTCCTTTCCTGCCCCCAGTTGCCACTGCGACAGTTCCAGCCCCAGGCCCTCCAGGAGTCCCCTCGCCTGAGGCGGCCCTTACCGCTGCTGTGGCTGCGGTCGTAGAGTGTGGCATAGGTGCCTGTAAAATAGTAGACCAGCTGGTTCTGGCGAATGAAAAGGGTGCTCTCTGTAGAGATGGCATCGTAGATGGTGGCCGAGAAGTCAGCCTGGGGGCAGTAGAAGGAGTCTACCCAGCAGCTGTCAATGCTCAGCTGGGGGGAGCAGAGGTCATGGTGAGTAGGGGACCTGGGCCTAAGGTTCCATATCCTGCCTTGGGGCCCCTCCTGCTCTAACCACCTGGGATGGAGGGACACAAGTCATAGCCGCAGGTGCTCTACCTGTCCACCTGTGACTGTACCTTGGTAGCCAAATTTTTAGGGAAGCAGACATCCCAGACCTCATTCAGCTGGGCATTTTGTGCTCTTTGGAGTTGAACGGTGCACAGCATGCTCAGCGGCACTCAACAGTCCCTGTGCCCGTGGGAACAAATGCAAAATATCCCATGCCTGGCTCAAGGGTCACACTGACAGTTCTAGTCTACCATGAACCCACTTCACTGTCTGGTTAGCACCACCCGAGTCAGGGGCCAATTACTAATACTGACAACGTCCCAAGCAGTGACAACATCACCAATCCAGGGTTCTTGTCAATAAGATAGAATCTAAATCAAATGTCTAGAACTCACTACTCGCTATAGGTATATGAATGATGTGCACTGAAACACACACCCCCAAATTCCTGTGTTGAAATCCAACATGAATGTATTTGGAGATGGAGTGTTTAAGGAGGTAATTAAGATTTTGTGAAGTGGGGCTGGGGATTTAGCTCAGTGGTGCCATGCCTGCCTGGCAAGTACAACATCCCAAGTTCAATCCCCGGTATGGGGGTGGGTGGGTAAAAAGAGATTCAGTGAGGTGCCAGGTGTGGGTGCATATGCCTGTGAGGCTAAGGCAGTAGGATCAAAGTGAGTTGTTTTTGGTTTTGGTACCAGGGATCAAACTCGGAACCTTGTGCTTTTGAGGCAGGCAGTACCACCACTAAGCTAAATCCCCAGCCTGATCAAAGTAAGTTTGAGGCCACTACATAGTGAGACCATGGGGCCAGGGATTTAGCTCAGCGGTTTGGTGGCCTGCCTCGCAAGCGCAAGGACCCGAGTTCGATCCCCAGTACCAAAAACAAAAACAAACAAACATAGTGAGACCATGTTTCAAAACCAAACTAATAAACTTTGGGAAGATGGGAAAATGATGAATAGCAGAGAAACAGCCTTTCTGAGATTTGGTGTCCAGATGCTGAAAAATAGCAGGAAGTGAGGAAGAGAAGGAGGGAAGTGGGTCCCCAGACCCAGCAAGGATCTGAAGCCAGAATTAAAGCCCACAGAGAGAGTGAAGAGAGAGATCTCAATGCAAGAGGAGGAGGTGGCAAGCAGCTCTTTCTCCCTAAGACCTGACTCACCATGTGGGAGGAGCAGCTCAAACCTGAAGATGAAGAGTGACTACTGGCGACCCCAGAGTCCTCCACAGAGACACACATCAGTGGAACAGCAAACTGGACACAGTGGACCTCACTGGCTGGTGAGTTATCTAGGCTCAGTCATCCCCCAGGAGAAGGTGATTAGCCATCTTGGAGAGGGGCTGAGTTCAGATCTCAGAGCAGCTTTAGGCTGGCTCAATCTAGCAGCTCCCAGTGTCAGGGAGAGGTAGAATCCAGTTCAAGTCTGCAGGAGGTCAAGGAGCCAAGTTCAAGTGGCAGAAGGTACAGAGAGTGCTGCAGACTGGGGGTTCTAGACTCACAGCCAGAAACCAGCCCCAACTTTGTGGAACTAAAGGTACAGTCTTGCTAGGATTATCCACTGCACCATTGTCAATCTATAGCTGGCCTGCTGGGATTGATCAACATGGATTTGGGCTCTGTCTATCCACTCTGTCTACCAGTGATGGCAGAGACATGCCCTGAAGTGGACATTTATTTTCTCTTTTCTTGTTTTGTTTCTCTTTTTTTGTTTTGTTTCTCTTTTTTCTTGTTTGTTGTCCTCTTTATATGTGTGAACATTGTTTCTAGTTTTGTTCTGTTCTGTTCATTTTTATTTCTTCTCTTTCTCTCCTGTCTTCACCAGTTTCCCAAAGTTCACATAATCTTCCTTTGTCCTACAGCCTTGCTTCTAATCACTGCTGCTTCTCCTCCTTCTCTATTTTTCCTCACAGCCCCTTTTAAATTTTCCCCAATGGTAAAATTGCTATATTGAGGGCAGATTTTCTGAATGCAGTTTTGTGGTTTTAGATTGTGTTATATAACCACAAATATAGTTCATAAAGTTAAAGGTGGCAAATTAATAGTTACCACAGTTTGTCATTCTCTAGGCTGTGTTTGATGCTACTGTTATTGCTGATTTAGAGACTCAATCCAAAAATGATCATCTCGGGCTGGGGATTTAGCTCAGTGGTTCCATTGCCTGCCTTGCAAGCACAGGGACCTGAGTTTGATCCCCAGTACCAAAAAACAAACAAACAAACAAAAAATCCAAGAATGGTCATCTGAAATGAGTAGGCACTTCTCATATGAAGAAATAGAAATGTCAAATACATATATGAAAAAATGTTCAACATCACTGGTCATTCAAGGGATGCAAATTAAAACACCACTGAGATTCCATCTCACTCCAGAAAGACTGGTTATTATCAATATAACAGACAATAACACATGTTGGCAGGGCTGTGAGGAAAAAGGAACCCTTCTCCACTGTTGGTGGGAGTGTAGACTGGTGCAAACACTGTGGAAATCAGTGTAGAGATTTCTCAAAAAATGAAAACTATAGGGCCCATGTGACCCAGCGATTCCCCTTCTTGGTACCTTCCTGAAAGAATTAAAAGCATCATACCACAGTGATATCAGCCCAATCATGTTTATTGTGGCATGATTTTTTGTTTGTTTTTTGGTATTGGTTTTTTTTAGACAGGGTCTCACTATGTAGTCCAGGCTGGCCTCAAACTTACTGTGCAGCTCAGGCTGGCTTCCAACTCACAGGGATCCTCTTGCCTCTGCCTCCAGGGTGCTGGGATTACAGGCATGTGCCATTATGTCGAGCTGTATAGTGGCACAGTTTGTAATAGCCAAATCTTGGGAACAACCTAAATGTCCTTCAACTGATGAGTGGATAAAGGTGTGGGTTTTTTTATGTGATGGAGTACTACTCTGCCATAAAGAAGGATGAGCTTGAGACATTTCGAACTAAGTGGATGCACCTTAAGACCATACTCTTAAGTGAAATAAATTGGACACATGTCTAAATATTGCATTTGGGGTATGTAAACTGAAAGTGTAAATAAGGACCAAAATATATAATAGATATTGGGAATTTTGGTTTTTCTCTTTTTTTGGTACTGAGGATTGAACTTGGGACCTTGCACTTGCAAGGCAGGTGGTGGCACCATCGAGCTAAATCCCCAGCCCTGATATCAGGAAATGGGAAGAAAATGCTCAGATGTGAAGGAGAACAAGAGATTGGGGAGGAGAAAGGAAGGAAGGGATGAGAGAAAAAAGAACAGAAGGAAAAAATGGAAACAAAGTTCTTATAAATAAGGAGGGGAAGAGAGGCTAAAGGAAGGGAGACAATGAGGGAAAAAGAAGAGGCAAGATATAACAAATACAGGTACAAATTCCCACGATGAATGTTAATCATTCTGTATGTCTAAAGTGTACCAATAAAATCACAGAAATAAGCAGTACACTGGGTCCCCCACATCCTGATTACATCAGGATGGGCACATGGTCTGAGCACGCTGAGTGGGACCTGGGGTTATAAGGGAAACATCTTTCCCACTGTCTGTGGCCCTGGAAGATGCAACCTTGCAACTTTCTTCTCCAAAAGGCAGAAGTGTTTTGAACATAAAGTTCACACTGAGAAACACAGCCTAAGAGACGGAGAAACCCAATCTTGGCGACACTGTTAAAAATCCTGGGTCAAAGCCAGTTGTGATGGCGAATGCCTGGATGCCCAGCACCCTCCACTTTTCCACTTTGTTTTTTTAAAGAGGTCTTGCTGGGTTGGCCACACTGGCCATGAGCTCCTGGCTTAGGCAATACTCCTGCCTCAGCCTCTGGCACAGCTGGGAGCACAGGTCCACACCACCATGTCTAGCTTCCCTCTCCACTTAGGGCAGATGGTTCATGGAGCTCCCAAATCCATGTCCCCATCTTCCTTGGTGACAGAAGTTAGTCCAGCACACGGCACACAGCCTTCTGTGCAGCTAGAGAGAGCAAATGACACGTTCCTCCCGACTGGAGCACCAGCGCTGTTTCCTCCAAGAGTGAGCGGCACCTGCCAGGCAAACCTGAGACCTGCACTGACTCATTCAAACCCACCCAGACGCGGAGAAGCATCCCTTATGTTCACTCCCTCCCCATTCTGAAACAAGGAAGAATCTGAAGCCTGGGGCACATGTCCAGGCAATTCAGAAGGCTCCGGATGTGGGAGATGCTACGGTACATGCTGACCATCCACAGTGAGCGCTATGAACAGCACAGTGGCAAATCTAAGTATCGTTCCCATTTTACAGAATGGGAATCAGGCCCAGGTCGGTAAAGTGACTTGCCCAAGGTCCCACAGTCAGGAAGTGGCAGAATTAATATTGGAACCTGGGCCACCGGGCAGGCAGAGGTCCCTTCATGCTCCTTGGGGGATGGCTGAGTCTTTGGGTCCCATTCTGTAGCCCCAGCCCCCAGCCCCACTTAGGTGCAGAGTCCCACACCCCTTGGCAGTCTCCAGGCCCCCTGGCCTGGCAACACTCACCTCCACAAGAGAAAAGGTCTCAAAGTTGGTGTCGCTTAGCAGGATGGCCTTCTCATTGGGAATGCCACCCAGGATGAGCACTGGCGACTGGTCCAGAGTGTACCACAGGGGCCTCGAGGAGGCATTCACGAAGTACTGGGGTGTCAGGTCAAAGAGCTGCCAGAGGCAGCCATGGAAGCTACTCAGTGCTCCCCAACTCTCCCATGTCTCTCTCTTATCTAAGGAAAAGCCAAAGTCCCCACCCAGCCTCACAAGGTCTCCCACAATTTTCTCTGTCATCTCCCAGACCTCATTTCCTACCTCTCTGTCCAGCCCTGTGGCCTCTGTCCTGCTTCTCAGATGCACCAAGCACAATGTGACCTCAGGGCCTTTACACAGGCTATTCCCTCCACATGAATCTTGTACCCACATGACCCTTCTGTTCTCTGAAGCTTTATTCAATGTCAACTTCTGTGAAACTTTCCTTGACTGCTCCATTAAATGCTGCAGTCTTCTCCTGCACAGGCCCACCCCCCTCACCCTCTTTGGTTTCTCTCCAAACCTCTTACTTTTTATTCTTTTTCTGGGACTAGGATTTTATGAAGCCATAGCCTTCACACCGAATTACATCCCCAGTCCTTTTTAATTTTTTTTTTTCTGTAGCGCTGGGGATTAAACCCAGGACCTCATGCATGTTAGGTAAGAGCTCTACCACTAAGATATATCTCCGGACCTTTTTAATGTTATTTTATTTTTTATTATTCATTGATTTATAAAAAAATCCTTTATAAGAATATGAAAGAAAACTTCAAGTTAACTCTAACCAAAGATCCAGATGTTATAGTAATTAGGCCGATCAAGGAAAAGCTGACTCCAGCCTTTTTTAAAATTTTGAGACAGGGCCTCACTACGTTGCTCAGGCTGGACTCAAATTTGGGTCCTCCTACTTCAGCCTCTCAGACCAACCTTTTAACTGGACTCGATTTTCTTGTGTACTGGTTTGGTGTCTGTCTCCCCCGCTGAAATGTCAACTCTGTGAGGCAGGGCTTGGGGTCTGTGTGTTCACCGCTGTGTTCCCACAATCCCACAGCGTGTGCTCCCAAGTGATGAATGAATGAATGGCTAAATGCATGGACAGTGAGGCAGAATGTGGAGTAGGAGGCCCACAGATGTGGCTTCAACTATCCTTCCACGCATGCTCACAGAAAGACAGTAAGAAAGCAGGTCTCTTCCTTTAAAGCATCAGCATTCACCTCTTTAAAATGGGTATGTGAAGCCAGCCATGGTGGTTCATGTCTGTAATCCCAGCACCCTGAGAGGCTGAGGCAGGAGGATCACAAGTTCAAGCCCAGCCGGAGAAATTTAGTGATTTATCCAGAAATTTAGTGATTTTTGAGCTTTCTCAAAAAAGGGAAGATGTTGTGAGAGAGCACTTCTGCCCAGGGTCGCTGGAAAGAAGCAGGTTTTGCAGTTAGGGAATCTCTTTGCCCAGGCAGTGCTTGGGAATGGATGGAACCTGCTGCTTCTTTTCAATGAGCAGAGCCCCAGCTCGAGGCCCCTCACCTCTGATCCCAGCGTGAACTCAACTGTGTCTTGCTGCTTCTTCAGGAAGCCATTGATATTCACGCGGAACCTGTGGCAGGTAGGGCAGGCCCAGGGCAGGGTCCCATTTCCGGCACAGCCCCCAGCCCACTCCCCACACTCCTCCCCTTCAGGGTCCCCTGCTCCTTTGGAGAATGGGGGCCAGGCACCCCCTCCCAGAGCCTGACCCCAGCCTGGGCTTGGAGAAGGGCACCTTTTATTGGGAATGAAGGGCCCCAGGCCATTGCTGGTGACCTCCACCTTCATCACCACGCTGCCGTTCTGGATGGGCATGGGCATGAACCAGCTCATGGAGCACACCTCCTCTGCCAGGCACAGCCCTGCTGGGAGAGGACTCTGAGGAGCTGCCCACCCAGGTCCCCCTCCGGGGCTCCCTGGCCCAGCTCCCACCCACCTGGGTAGCGGAAGGGCGCTGCCTCCATCCTGATCTGTAGCTGCTCTATCTTCCAGCGGTAGAAGTTCACAGAGGACTGGAAGGTGACCAGCACCACGGGCTTCAGCCCCATTAGGTGGCCACTGCGGACCAGGTCCTCGGAGGGCTGAGGGCGAGACAGCCCCACAGGTGTGTCCTTAAGACGGTCTCTGGGTCACCACCACCTCACCACTATGTCACAGTGACCTTCAGATGTGTGAAACAGCAACAGAGTGCTCTGCACTGTCCCCCAGAGAAGGCTGCAGGGGGACTGGGGATAGGGGCACCAAGGGAGAGATTTAACAGCTTCTGCCACCTTTGCCAGCCCTGCATCCTGAGGGGCACTTGGGCCAGGGTCCTTTCTATCCTTTCTCCTCCACTTGCTTTTGGCCCTGAGTCAATGTTTCCAGTCACAGGGAGCAGGCGCTGGGCACTGGGGATGGCTCCCGATACAAGTAATAATGGCCACTGCCACCCTAGCCCTGTCCACTCCATCTCCTGCCTCCTCACTGTCCTCCCGCTCCTGCCTGAGCCAGATTACACCATCCTCTGTTCAGAGCCTTCTCAGGGTTCCCTGCCACAGTCACCAAACAATAATCCCTGCCCTGGGCCCCCATTCTTTGGAAAAACTGTCTTCTGCCAGGTGTGGTGACGCATGCTTGTAATCCCAGCACTTGGGAGGCTGAGGCAGGAAGATCACCTCAAGGCCAATCTGAACTACATAGTGAAAGCTTGTTTCAAAAAAAAAAATCTATGTATATGAGCCTGGCATGGTGGCATACACCTATAATCCTGGCACTTGTGAGGCTGAGGAAGGAGTATCACCATGGGTTTGAGAGCAACCTGATCTACAGTGAATTCAAGGCCAGCCTGCACTATAAATCAAGACTTTGTCTCAAACAACAACAACAGCAAACCTAAAAAAAGATTCTATGTATATGAAACATTCATAACAGGCAAAATTGTGGGGAAAGAAAGTAGATTTAGTTTTCTCCTGAGGCTGGAGAGAAGGAGCTTGAAATTAGGAGTGCCTGCTAATGGGTACAGGGCTTATTTTAGATTGTAAAGATATTGTGTAGGGACTGGGGATTTAGCTCAGTGGTTCTGCCGCCTGCCTCAAAAGTACAAGGTCCCAAGTTCAATCCCCAGTACCACAAATACACACAATATTTTTGTTGTAAAAGTTGTATACTTTTGTAAGTTTTACAAAAAAGAATTGAATTACATGCTTAAAAATGATCAACTGGAGGCTGGAGATGTAGCTCAGTGGTAGAGCACTTGCTTGGCATGGGTTCAGTCAGTCTCAGTGGCCCCATCCATCCCTTCCCCCACCAACCCAAGACCCTAGCCATAGGTTCCATGGCCTGAATTCCATCCCCAGCAGCACAAAACAATGTAAAACCTGAATGTTATGGTATGTGAGCTTTTGCAAAAAAATATGGCCAAAAGGGGAAAAAATCTTGAGCACCTATTATATGAGATACTGGGAACTCTATACAGATAGTCCTTTTTCTTCTGTGTGTGTGTGTGTGTGTGTTTTCTTTGTTTTGTTTTGTTTAAACAGGGTATTATTAGATCAGACTGGTCTTGAACTCACTGTATACCTCAAGCTGGCCTCGGACTCACAGCAATCCTCCTGCCTCAGCCTCCCAAGTGCTGGGATTCGGGGCATAAACCACCTTTTTCTTTTTCAGTAGTTGAGACTGACCCCAGTAAACACTCTTCTGCGTCCCTGGCCCTTTTTATTTTTTGAGACAAGATCTCACTAGGCTATCCCCAAATTTGCAATCCTGCTTCAGGCTCCTGAGGAGCTGGGGAGTTACAGGTGTCTGCACCTGAATCTGAATCCTCATTTTCCCAGGGTTGTATGGTGCTACCACCTGCCTAGTAAGCTGAGGCCCTGGGTTGGGTCCCAGAGGGAAGGGGACACCCACTCACCTGTCCCTCACAGGAGTAGTTGATTTTGAGGTAGTAAGGGAAGCCCAAGTATTTCTGCAAGGAGAGGTGGGTGAAGTGCTCAGGGCCACGAGTACTGGTTCAGAACCCTTCCAGGCTCGTCTGACCCTAGTCCCCTCACCTCTTGTGGATCAATGGGCGAGTCCACCAGCATGCTGAATACGCTGTCCACTGTATCCACCGGCTCTTGATCATAGAAGCGGTCACTCATGTGGGTGTCACCTACCCTATCAAACTTGTTCAGGACAACCTTCCAGGTGCAGTCCTGGAAATCATCGCTTTCCCACACCCTCGACGACGCCAGTGGTACCGCCAGCAGTGCCCAAAACACCCGAAGGACTCGTACTCTTGGCCACACAGAACCGGGAGGGAACATGGCTGGGCAGCGCACTGTGTGCAGCTAGAAACTGGAGAACGCGGAGGTCAAAACCCTTCTGCAAGTTTGATCTCTTCGGCTGCTTACTCTTGCTCCTGACCCGGCTCCTTCTCTTGCTCCTAGCCCTGCCCCTGCTAAAACTCCTAGTCTTGCCCCGACTACATCTACCTTCGCCCGCCTCCTGGTCGTTTCAGTTAACCTAGCCCTGCCCCGCCTCCTAGTTCCGCCTCCTCTTGGTTTTCCGCGCCTGCTCTTCTCGCTTCTCTGTTTGACAGAGCGCCTCCAGTTTTCCCTTGTCCCGCTCAGACCTGTGATCACACTCTTGTTCCTGCACCTGGCTCCCCGTTCACTCCTTGCTCCATCCCGGCGCTTGTCCTGGTGCCGTCCCCTTCTCCTCGGTCTGGCCCCGGCCTGGCACCGGGCTTTAACCTGCATCCGGCTCCCGCCCCTCGGGTCGGGGTCCGGAGCCTTCCCGACGCCCGCTCCCTTCCCCTGTCTGCGCCCCCGTCTCGGGCCTGCGGGTTGCTCCTCCCTGGGCTTCCTCCCTTTGCCCCACCCCCTACCCTCGCCCAGAGCCTCCCTCGCCTGCGGCCTCCCTAGCTCCGGAGCGAGCGGCTCCCTACTTTGCTCCGCACCTGTCCGCTTTTCCTTGGAGACTCTCTCCGCCCCTCGGGACCTCTCATAAGAGACCCTTTCTTCGACCCTGTTTCTTTCTTCCTCTCGGGATCTCTCCTCCCGTTGGGATCTCTGCTGTCCCCAGAGTTTTCCCTCTCCCCGGGATCTCTTCTGGCCCAGGGTCTTCCCTTCCTCACCCCTCCCCTTCTTGTCAGAGACCCTTTCTTCTCCCGGGGGTTTCTGCTTAGCCCAGGGCCTGCTCTCCCTTCCAGACCTCGCCACTCCTCGGGATCTCTCCTCGCCCGGGGTTCTCTCCTCACCCCACCCCTTCTCTTGAGAGACCCTGTCTTCGCCCAGGGATCTTTCTTCGCTCCAAGATCTCTCTTCCCCTCGGGATCTCTCCTTCCCGGATCTCGCTTCCCCTCGTGGTCTCTCATCCAGCGATCTTTCTTCTCGAAATCTCTCCTCTCCCCGTGATCTCACCCCTTGGGATCTCTCCTCTCCTCGAGATCTCTCCTCGCCCAGCGATCTCTCCTCACGCCAGATCTCTCCACCCATCGTGATCTCTCCTCTTCCAGCGGTCTCTCTTCGCCTCGAAATCTCTCTTCTCCCCGAGGTCTCACCACCCCTCGGGATCTCTCCTCGCCCCTCGATCTCTCCTCTCCTCGGGATCTCTCCACCCCCCTGCTTCTCTTCTCACGCCAGGATTTCTCCTCCTCCCTCGATCTCACCTCCCCTCGGGATCTCTCCTCGCCCTGCGACCTCTCCTCTCCTCGCCCCTCGACCTCTCCTCTCCTCGGTATCTCTCCTCGCCCCGTGATCTCTCCTCTCCTCGGTATCTCTCCTCACCCCGCGATCTCTCCTCGCCCCGCGACCTCTCCTCTCCTCTGTATCTCTCCTCGCCCCGTGATCTCTCCTCTCCCCGGGATCTCTCCTCGCCGCGGACTTGTCCCTGGATGCCAGATCTCTTCTGACCCCGCGCCCTCTCCTCGTTCCACGCTGATCTTTCGATCCTCACCTTCCCCTCGAAAAGCGACACTTTTTCTCCCCACATGTCACCTTCCCTTTCCAGGTCCAGATTATCCACCTGCCTCTTCCAGTCC